CTGAATATCCTTTGCTCCCCTGTGCTGCGGTCCCACCCAGTGCTTGCACCTGCTGCCAGTGCTGGTCCCGCTAGCACCCGCTACAGGCACCTGGTGCTGGCTCTGATTGCTTGGGGCTGTCAGCAGGTGCTAGTGGCAGCTACTGGCCTCAAAAGACCCTTAGGGCTTCTCACCTTCCCCTGATCCTGAGGGGCAATCAGGGCCAGCAGCCACTGCTTACACCCATTGATGGCACCAGCCCTGTTCACACCAGCTGCTGGTGCCAGACCCAATTGCTCTGTGCCATCAGCAGGTGCAAGCGAGGCTGGCACCACCAGCGTGTGGGTGACAGGAGTAGGGGAGTGGTGGTGACAGGAGCATGGCTGCTGGCAGACAGGGAAAGTGGGGGGGAGGGGTGGTCTGCAGCGGGAGGGGCCGGGCAGGGGTGCATAGGCTGGGCCAAGACCTGCCCCTGTGCCCACTGCAGCTTCAAGCCCATGGTTCCTTTCAAGGTGCATGAATTCATGCACTGAGCTCCTAGCTTAGCTATAATTTAACAAAGTGTGCAGAATATATGCTGAAAATCACAAAAATCCTGATTTAAAAAAATAAAGCAAAAGACTTAAATAAATGTAGCGACATACCATGTTCATGGATTGTAATATTGAATATAGTAAATATGCAAATTCTCTTCAAATGTATGTAGATGTGATTCAATTCCTATATGAGTCCCGCAAGGTTTTTTGAAGGTATAGTTATCCCTATACTAAAGTTTAATAGAAAGGCAAAGCCATAGAATAGCTAACATAATCTTGAAAACAAAGAATAAAATGTGTGAACTTGAAATTAAAGCTTATAATAAATTTACAGTAATCAAGACAGAAATAGATCTACACAATATACCCAACTGATTTTGACAAAGGAGCAAAAGTAATTTAATGGAAAGATAGCTTTTTCAGCAAAAGGTGTTGAAGCAATTGGGCATCAATAGGCAAAAAACCCACAACAAAACACACACCACAAAACAGAACAAAACAAAAACCTTGACTTAAACTTCACATCTTAGAGAAAAGTCAACTCAAAGTAAGCCATAGGCTTAACTTTAAAATGTGAAACCCTACACCTTTAGGATTAAGGTTAGGAGAAGACCCTCAGATGAAGAATTCTTTGACTAGATACCAAAAGCACATTCAGAAAAGGAAAAACGGACAAGTTGGACCTCAATAGAATTAAATAATTTTGCTTTACAAAAGACTCTGTTAAAGAGAATGAAAAGACAAATTACACACTGAGAGAGAATATTTGCATACCACATACCCAGCAAAGGACTTGTAAACAATAAAAAATCCCAATCTAATTAGAACATTGGCAAATACAGGAAGAGGCCTGTCACCAAAGAGAGTGCATAAATGGTAAATAAACACACACAAAAATTATTCAACATCATTAGCCACTAAGAAAATGCAAATTAAAATTACAATGAGGTATCATTATTATACTTCTAGTAGAATAGCTCAAGTAAAAATAGTAATAATACCAAATGCAAAGAAATGAGATCAGCTGCACATTGCTGGTGAGAATGTAAAATGTTACATCCATACTGGAAAAGTAAATCAGATGCTTGTTGCAAACCAAACATACAATTAGAATCCAGCAATTGCACTTTTGCATTTATCCTACAGAACTAAAAATTCATGCTCACACAAAAACGTTTACTAATAGTCATAACAGCTTTATCTGTAATAGCCCAAACTAGGGTCTTTCAATGAGTGAACTGTTCAACTGTGGTACATTCACATCAAGGAATAACCATTAATGACAAGTACCAACTATTGATACACACATCACCTTGGATGAATCTTAAGGAAATTATGCTCTGTGGGGAAAAGCCAGTCCTAAAACAGTTAGACATTGTGCAATTCCATTTGTATAACAGTCTTTAAATAACAACATTATAGGAACGGAACGCTGAGCAGTGGCTGTGGGAGATGATTGCGGTGGGGGAGTGAGGAGTATGTGTGGCTACGAAGGAGCAGTTGGAGAGATTTTTGTGGTGGTTGAACACACACCCTGTACCTTTGGGTGGTGGTTCACAGATATGCACATATGATTAAATTGGAAAGAACTATATTCTCACATAGAAATGAGTGTGTGTAAAACTACCGTAATGAAATCTAAGGAATCTCTGTGGGTTGCACAATACCAATTTCCAGGTTGTGATATTGTGCCACAGCAATCCAGAGGTCATTACTGGAGCAAACTTGGAGTGGTCACAGAGACTTCCCTGTACATTTTTGTGCAACATTCTGTGAATCTATAATTATTTCTAAATAAAGTTTTTAAAAAATCTGGAGTAAAGCCAGATGTTTAAAAGATGCTGAGAAATAGTGATACGACAAAGAACAAAGTCAGAACAATGGCATGAACAAATAATAGTCACATCAGCAGAACTGACCCTAAATGGACTCCAGAGTTAAGGTGCTGGGAAATTTTTTAAATGATCTGTAGCGCTAGGCCCATGGCTGGGAGCCAATGCTTAATATTAATTAAAACGAGTAACAGCCCTTCCAGGTGGCTCAGTTGGTTAGAGCGTCATCCCATACGCTGGGAGTTATGGGTTCAATTCCACTCAGGGCACATACCTAGGTTGTGGGTTCAATCCCCAGTCAGGGCCCATATTAGAGACAGCCAATCAATGTTTCTCTCTCACACTGTTGTTTCTCTCTCTCCCTTCCTCTCTCTCTCTCTAAAAAAAAAAAAAAAAAAAAAAAAAAAAAAAAAAAAAAAATCAATAAAATCATATATTCAGGCATAGATTTAAAAAAAAAAAAAAAAGCAAAATTATAACATTTCCACCTCTATTTTGGGGGGTTTTCTCTGTCAAGAAGAATGTTCTTCGAAGACGAGGAAGAGATGGATGCAGATAATATAAATTATCAGGACTGCTTTCGGCTTTCGGCTCGGAGGAGGCTCAGGTGCAACTTTGTTCAGTCGTCCCAAATCTGGGTCATCCGACACCAGCTGCCTCCACCATGCCGGGAAAAAAAAAAAAAAAAAAAATAAATAAATAAATAAATAAATAAATAAATAAATAAATAAAAAAAATCAGGGACTGAAGTGGAGGGGCTGGAAGACATAGTACATACTTGCAGTGAGTAGATAAGTAGGTCCTGGAGACCCATACACAGTACATGATTATAGACAGCAGAACTCTGTTATGAAAATCAAACTTGCTGAGAGACTAGGTCTTGATTGTTCTCAACACTACAAGAACTGATAATCATGTGATGTGACAGACCTGAGGGGTCGCTATGTTACAGAGCCCCATAGAAATTACTGTCCATAATGGCACTCGTCTAGAAAGTTTCATTTGTTTTAGGATCTCTGTAGAAGAAGACAGGCAGTCATAAGTGCATTCAGAAAAATAGTCCTTCCATCCAAACTGGAGTGATTTTGTTTCTTGGCTAGCTGTTTAGTCAGTGGCATCCACAACCTAAGTCAGAAATCTGGGAATCACCCTTGACCCTTGCATCTGCCTCACTTGCAGGTCCCGCCATTACAGTCCCACTGATCTGGCTTCTAATATTTCCCCAGACCACTCTCCCTTTCCTTCTTCACAACTGCTGCTCATCTGTCGATGCGTGCTCCTCTGTCCTCAGCATTACTCTGTCCTACTTTGTCCCCGTCTATGATGGCGAGTGATCTTTAATGCACACCAATACCTCTCTGCCCAGCTTCAGCCCTTTCAAATTGGCCCTCAACTCAATCCCCACTGAGCTTTCCCCACCCAATTTTGATCCAACAACATCGAGCTGTTTGCATTTTCCTGAATACTCTTTGAAAATATATCTTGCACATATGGTTTCCTCCCCACCCCAGCCACCACCTCATTTTCTAACTAATTCCCTTTATCCATTAATCTTAGCTCTGACCTCAGGCCCACACCAGGCTCCTCTGTAATGTCCTAGCTGGGGGTGAACTGTATAGAAGTAGCTAATGGAGGGCTCGCCCTGCCAGCCTCCTGCCACCTCCAACAGGACTGTGGGCTCCCTAAAGGAGCTGTGTTTATTGGTGTCTGTTTCCTCAATGCCAGTGCAATGCCCAGCAGGTAACAGGTGCTGAATATGTTTGACCGGCTGACTTTGTTTGAACACTTCAGTATCTTAGCAGTCACATACCCAGAATGCTGCATTCCCCAAAGTTCCAAACAGCCAGCAGTTACTAAAGCCATTCCCAAGCACAGTTCCTGCACTGCAGCACAGCAGACCCTTCATCTGTGCCCCGCCAGAAGTCCACCCAGCGAGCTGCACAGACAGATGTGAGCTGAAAGGGGCTCTGAGGCCAGCGGGCAGAGCTGCAGTCCATCCAGGGGAGACCGGGGGTGGGAAAGGCTGATCGACTTGAAAGATGGTTTGCAGAGGCTATTCTAGAATGGGAGATCGGAGCTTCCTGTGGGAAGTTCTTACCTGTGACTTTAAATGCTACAAATTCTAGAAGATTTAAACAATGCAATACCCACATAACACGGAGCAAAATAAATAAATAAAGATAGCAGAGCTGACTGAATTTTTAAAATCTGAGTTCCACCTAAACAAACTAAATATGAAGCTAGAGAAAGCACTCCCTAGTCAACACAACAGCTAGAACAGCAGTCACCTTAAAGCATTTCAAAGGAATCGTTAAATAAATATGAGGCACTTGGCTTCCATTCTGTGGAAGCTTATCGTCCCTCTTGCATTGCCATTTCATCACACAACCTGTGTGTCAGACCAAGACAACTAATAAAAAGAAGGGGTGTAAATTAAGCATTAACATTAACATTAATCTTATAGAAATGCAATTGAAAGAAATTGTGAAGCTTGAAAAAACCCCACTATATCCTTTATTAGCATCTCACACATTCTCAACTGAACATTCCAGAAATGTATGAGTGGGAGTCCGTGTGCTACACCAGACTTTCTATTGGCATCTCCAGTCTTCACCCCAACAGAAAGCCTGCTGACCAGGGAGAAGTACTTTACCAGTGATTTCAAAGGCATCCATCGTAGAGAACATAGTTTGGTCCAGAGCAGCTGCTTCTCCAGTGCTAGCTGGGCACTCTTCCTCCTTGAGAATTTCCTTCTGTTCCATCGCTAAGCTTTATAGAGGGTCAAAGTCCTAGAGCCAGCAGAAATGAAACCCTTCTGGGGAACCACTGGGGGAGGATTGTTCCCATTTGACTGCAGCACTTGGTTGTGGATCACGGAGCACTTCCCTTTGGCTCTGACTTCTGGATTTGCAAAATGTTTCCTGCCATGATCAGGATCGGGCATTTCCCAGAAACTGGCCATTCACGTGTGCAGCTCCTGCTTAGAGCAGCTGCTGGTCAAGGGGGGTCCAGTCAGCTTTAGGCACAAGTCCTTGCTCCCAGGCTCCCGAGAGCGGATAGCTGATGACCCTGGGAGGCTGCTCTCTACCTCTCATTTCCTACCTAAGCCCAGACCCACCTCATTGCCCCAGGGCCTCGCCAGCCCACACTGAGCTCTCCCTCCCCGGTCTCCTTCTCCTCTTGGAGTTCATTCTTGCTCCTCAAAGCATGCACCTCAGACTGGTAGCATTGGCTGCGCCTGGAAACTTGTTAGAAATGAAGTTTCAGGTCCGACATAGATGTGTGCTTTAACAAGATCCCAGCTTGTGTAAGTACACATAGTATTGCAGAGCACTGCTCTCTGCCACTCTGTTTACTGTGTTCTCATGTCCCATATGTATACATATGTGCTTGCTCTGGCCCCAGTAAGAGCTGAGATACTTGAGGGGAGGTTGTGTGGGGCAATAGTTAAGGCACAGACCCTGAGAGCTAGAACGCCTGGGTTCAAATTTCCCCTCCTCCACATAGCAGCCATGTGACTGTGGGCAAGTCACTGCAGCTTTAGGTGCCTTAAGTTCCTCATCTGTAAAATAGGAAAGATTATAATAATTACTATGCAAGTAAAATGAGTGAATCAGGCAAGGTGGCTAAGAGGTGCCTGGTGGGCAATGAGCACTAAGATACTGCTGCCCGTCAGCACCGGAGACACTGGTTGTGCAGGCTGCCAGGGAGATGGGAGACACTGACCGTGAAGGGTGCCAGGGAAATGAAGGAAGCAGCCTCTGCCCTAGTCTACAGGATGGAGGTGGGACACCTGGATTCCAGAAGATTTCTGTGAAGTGTGTGGGAATGGGAGCCGGGAGAGGACGGACTTGGCCGGAGTAGGAGGCAGGGCTGGGAATACCAGAATGAGCTTCCGATCAGATCTGGGTTGAGCAGGGTGACCACAGGTTTACCTGGGGAGCGAGGTAAGACAGGGCTCCGGGCAGAGGAATGGCAAGTGCGGCCTCACACAGGCGGAACCCTGGCGTCGGCCACCAGGGATGGAAGGTGAGGAGGGAGGGGGCGGGAGATGAGCTAACTCACTTCCTTTGCCCTATGGCGTGGCAGAAAGGAAAAGCGAAAAAATGTCCTACGAGGCAGTCCCAGTGGTGCCCACAATTTCAACATTCAGGAAGTCTCTGGTTTGGGCTGAGAACTAGGAATAGAAGCCAGCACAGAAATGTTAAAAGGAGATTGATGCCAGGAAGGCAGCTGGTAGCTCAGGCAGAAGTTTTGGGTGGACACACAAGCTAATAGAGGCTCAGGGGGCTTCCCCTGCAGGAGGGAATTCCCCAGCTAAGGAACCCCTTGCGTAGGCCGCTGTGCCTCCTCTCTGTGCCTGGCCAGCTTGCTCTGGCCAGGGGCGTCTCCTGGGTGGTGGTGTGGAAGGAGCTCATTGGAAAACTCTGGGGGCCCATTCCCATTCCACCAGCCGTGGAGGGAACATTTAGTGGGTGTCAAGTATAGATGTTTTGGCTCTGGCTACGGGGCCAGACAGACCTGGGACCCAAATCCAACTCTTCCTTTAACTTGCTATGTGACCTCACTGACTTACGTAACTTCTCTGAACCTCAGCACTCAGTAATGGCTTGTAGAGCCATCGACCGCTGCCCAGGATTTATCGGGTGCCAGGCACAGTGCTAGGCTTCACCCACATTGCTCAACATGCACAGCGGGGGACTTGCCTCAGATTGTGTGGCCAGAATGTGTTGACACCAGAATCCAAACCCAGAAGCCCAGTGTGATCCAGGAGCTGGAAGCTAGAGGTTTGCCCAAAGGAGCGTTTTGAAAACACACATGCCAGTTCCCACCTCCAGCCGGCGGCTCTGACTTTAACAGCCCGTGATGGGTTCTGGGTGCAGCCAGGCTGAGGCCCCTGCACAGAACAATGCAGTGGTCACAGGCAACATGCAGACCCATGTGGGCCCTCACTACTCCATCATGGGAAGACCCATTAGGCTGAACCGTACAAATTACTGATAGCCATCCCTTTTAACATGTGCCAAATGCCACTTCATAGGATTTAGGCTCACACATCCAGCCTGCAGGGCCAAGACTAGAGTGAGGCAACTGAGGCGCTCGCCTGGGGTGCAAACGATTCAGTGACCAAGGTAAATACTATTTGAACACATATTTTAATAGTGAAAGTTAAAAAGCCCATCATGAACAAATCATGGTTGTTTTCAGTAAAGACAGGATCCCATGAGGCACTTGCAATGACGGATCTCTCCTCTCCCCGGCCCCAGCCCTGTGCACTACTCTGCACGCCGGCAGCCCCACTTGCAAAGCAGGGTCCCAGCAGTCGCCCTGTCTGCCCAGAGCGCAGGTGTGAGGATGAAACCAGATAGAAATGGAAGCACACTTGTGAATGGAAGGCTCTCCGGAGAACTCATCTACTACGGAGCCGCACGTCCTAATGGGAAGCTCCTGAATTGTCAAGGTTACCCTTAAAAACCCCCTAGATCTCCCATAATGTATGAAGCACACAATTTAGGGAAATGGTGCAGTCAGACACCTTTGTCTTTGAGAGCATGGACCTGGCCGCTGCTTTCCTCCTTCCCCAAGCACCACATGAACTGGCCGACTTGCATGTTGTTCAGGAAATACAGGGCTGGCTTTATTTTTTAGCAGAGTGCCTGTGACTGGCCTGGAGAACCTGCAGGTGTGCTCAGAGCGGCTCTGCTGTAGTTTTATCAAGCTCTGCTGTTCTCCAAAGTGACCGCCTGGTGATTCAAGTGCATTAGCAGACAGGGGAGTGGGACTGGAGTCCCAGGCAAAGGCGGCCCACTCCTGGCGGCCTCTGCAGACTAGACACTATGAACGAGTGGGTCCCAAACTAGTCTAGTTGGTGGGCCACCAGAAAGATCACCTAGAACTCCTGAGTAACCCCATTCCAGTTTGAATGGATTAGGGCCACCAGGTTACCGCACAATATAAAAACCACTGGTGTTCAAAAAGACACGACCCCACAGCAAGCAGGCCAGCCAAGTCTCCACACTACCCCGAGTCCCGTCACACCTCACTAGCTTCCTGGCCACTTGCCCTGCCACTGCCTGAGCCTGGCATCTGCCCGAGCCTGCCACCTGCCCCAGCCCACCAGCAGAGCCCAGGGAAGAGGAACCTGCGCTAAAGAAAAAGCCAAGGAGACAAATGTTAACAATTCTGCCTATTGACTTCACTGTTCCTGTCAGTGGAGCTGACAGTGGTGGCCAGTGGCCGCCCCCCCCCCCCCCCCCCCAGCCTCTGTCACTGCCTGGTACTAAGTGAAGTGTCACTGCTGATCCATTTGAAAAATTTAAAAACCCAGTACAAATGGCCATCAACAGGTGAGTAGACAAGGAGATTAATAAACTGTGGTACATCTATTCATTAGGACACTAATCAGCATAGAAAGAAATAAGCAACAACATGGATGAATCTCAAAAGTCATTGTGTTGAATAAAAGAAGCTAGACCCCAAAGAGGACAGATTGCACAGTTCCATTTATGTAAGGTTCCAGAACAATCGACACTCATCTATAGTGTTAGAAAATAGGGTCCTGGTTTCTTAGGGTGGCAGTGGGGGAGAATTGACTGAAGACGAATATAGGAAGATTTCTGGGGTGATAGCAACATTCCAGATCTTGATTGGAGTATTAACTTGAAATGTGCATACAGTGTATATAGTTTGCACATTACATTTAATTAAAGCTAATTGAACACAGTGTATAAATTATACTTCAACAAAGTTAAGTAAAACAGAAAGGAAAAAGAAAACAGAATCATTGTCACTGGATCTTGCCCTCACTCACAGAGTGAACTGTTTGAGAGCCATGGGGGGGTGTCAGCCTCCCCACAGCAGATGTAAATGGGGCTGTCTTCCCAGGCACCCCACCTGGGAGCCCCCCTTTCTTCCTGTTTGGTATCCTCCCTCACATTATGGGGTTAATATGTCAGGACTGCGGGCTGAGCTCTCAGAACAGTGGAATGGAAGGGGAAACAGACGGGACTATGGGGAGACTTTCCCAGGAATTCAGGGCCCACCCAGGGCAAAGGCTGATGAGGCAGCTGTGGCTCTCTTGTCTGATTTCAGGGATGCGGTTCTCCTGACCACCAGACTATGCTTTGCCCCCCTGTGACCTACAATATTTCCACAGGAGCCAAACCTTTCATTCCCTCAGTTAAAATGTGTTCTTTCCTAGGAGAGAATCAGTGGCTTATTCACTCTGAAGTAAAAATGAGCAAAGCTATTCTTTTCCCAGAGCTGGTGTGGGGTTTGGAGGAAATGGTGGAGCAGGAGACAGTGGGACCAACCAGGACCCTGTAAGACTCTGCACAAGAAGTTGTTCAATATGCACCGAAAACACACCATGGACTATTACTCGGCCATAAAAAAGAATGAAATCTTCCCATTGGTGACAGCCTGGATGGACCTAGAGGGTATTATGCAGAGTAATGTAAATCAGACAGAGAAATACAAATACTACGTAATTTCACTTATATGTGGAATCTAAAAACAAAGTAAATAAACAAACAAAATAGAAATAAACCCATAGATACAGAAAACAGATTGATGGTTGTCAGATGCAAGTGAGGTGGGGAGGGGAGGGTCGGGGGCCTGGGTGAAAAGGGAAAGGGGCTAAAAAGCACCAATTGGCAGTTACAGAATAATCACAGGATATAAAGTACAGCATAGGGAAAATAGTCTACAATATCGTGACAACTATGTATGGGCCAGGTGGGTACTGGGTTTCTCAGGGGAATCACTTTCTACATTATATAAATGTCCAATCACTAGGCTGTACAACTG